TGGAAATTACAGGCCAGTTAGCTTAGTATCTGTCCTGAGAAAAATAGTGGAATTTTTGTTAAAGATAAAATAACCAAGGGCAAGTCCTGTCTTATTAACCTAGCTGGACACTGTGAGAACAGGATGTTGGCCTGGATGAGCCATTGGCCCTGATCCAACAGGCTCTTCTTGTGTTCTTATGTTATGTTGTGTTCTTGTGTTCTTATGCAAAAGGCCCCAAATTCAACCCCCAGCATCCCGGTAGGGCTGGGAGAGATACAGCCTGAAATCTTGAATAGATGCTGTCAGTCATTATGGATAGTTCTGAGCTTAATGAAACAATGATCTGACCAAGTAAAAAGTAGCAAAACCAGCTCTAAGTGAGCATTTATTATCCCTCCTTGGATGTTTGCTCTGTAACCAAAAGCCTAACTTAGATGGGGAAGGGAGAGGCAGCTCTCAAACTGAAACATCTACCAGCAAGAAAGTACAATCAGGGCTTGAATTGTACACCATTCCACTCCCCAAATCAAGTCCTAATTAGTCTAGCTCTAGATCTCTGTATTGTTGAATTTCAATCCTTCAAATTCTCCTGTGCAAAACCTTCCTCATCGCTATGTACTGATGATGCTGTTCTGCTTTCCAAGAATGTGATATACATCTGTGTCTGTGCACATGCAAAAATTGATAAAACAGTGCAAGAAAGAGAGAGAGAGAGGAGTAAACTTTATGTGATTGTGCATGCTGTTGTATGAAGATTCAGAACCAGTCAGAATGGAAAGATAGAAATTCTCTCATTCTTCATTATAGTGGAGAGGAGCTTTTCTGCCCAGGAAATCCCTTCATTGTTAGCAAATATTTCTTCCTGCTCCTTCATAATTAGCCTGGCATCGCAATGGTGGGAAACTGGCCTTTGACGTGTCACATTCCCAGCACATGGAAAGTGCTGCTTAATTAAAGCCAGGCTCGTGTTAGACGAGAAAGAAAAAGAGAAAAGGAAAGGGAAAAAGGAACTGGGGTGAAGAAGACTCAAGCCTGGACAGATACATGATACCCAGTGCTTACTGTCCCCCCCCCCCCAGAAAAATAGGTGTCGGTACTCACCATGAAGTTGCTACAGTTAGTGCCGCACTTTTTAACAACAACAAAAAGAGAGGTGCCAGTACTGCGGACCCTTGAGTACCCCCTGAAGGGGAAAAAAGCACCGATGATACCTCACTCCTCATTCCTCTGTGACTGTGGGTGGGTGGCTAATTCTCCTTTACATCTTAATTTGCACCGTGCATTAATATCCCCAGGCAGTGGTGCTGTGTATCACCAGATGAGATCTCACTGTTAATGTAGGTTAACATGGTAATGGGGTGGAGGTTGGGGAAAGAGCTGCCTTTGCTTTGAAAGAGGCCCTTAGCCCTTGGAGGGGGGACTCTATATTCTTGAGCACAGGATTCAAATTACAGGATAGGGGGTGCAGAAAGAGGACAGTTGGCTCTTTATATTTTGTGACAACCACCACCCCACTAATAGGTTTAATACTTACTAGGTTGCATGAAACGTTGGACATACCTATTAACATTATTAACATTAATGGACAAGTTGTTTTGGGTCACTTTTCATGACAAAAGTGGCTAATAAATGCTAATAATGCTAATAATAATAATAATATTACAACAACCAATGATATTATAGGTTTTAAATACTTCAGTACTTTTAAAATAATTTCAGTAAGAAATGGGTCGGGGAGCAAGATTGCTTACAAAAACGGCTTACACAATAGTGCAAAGATTAAAACCAGCATAAACCCCAAACCAAATGAAAGACTAAAAACACACCCCAGTGCTTCATAACATTATGTTCATTCTTCAGTTCAGGGTGGCAGGGGGAGTGATAGTGTAATGAAGGGCTGGAATTTTCCCAGGGAAACCCGGTTGATGTCAATCACTTTCAGCAAAATTCGAGCCACCAGCATAGAAGGCCATTTCTTTGATAATTCCTGGAGCCCTTTCACCAGGGACAGGGATGTAGCGTCTCCTATTGCTGCCCGGGCACGGGCACAGCCGATGCTCAGGAATGATGCAAGGTTTAGTCCAAACCCTTTGGAGCAGGCTGGGTTTGATTTTCCCCATCCCATTTCTTTGTTAGCCTTCCTGCTCCTGACCAAATGTGTTCACATCCCTATCCATGTCAGCCTGCCCCTCCCACGATCCCCTGAAATCTCCCAACCTCCAGGTTAGGAGCGGTTCTTGAACTGGAACATTTCTCAACACATTCTAATTTGCCGTGCATTTGCTGAACATGCAAAAAGTTGAATGGTGAAGCTCTGCTTTTGTATGCAAGATGTTTCTGGCTGGGAACAGGAATTTTGATTAGTTATTGCCACACTATGTAGAAATTGATTGCTGGTAGGTATTCATTCGGGGGGGAAATGGTCTTATTTTAAATATTACAATTGCATTTTATGGTACATCACTCGTGTCAAGTTAAATTTAATCATATTAGCATTTTAAAAAAGGGTATTCTGAATACCTGCTCACCCCGCTGCCGGAAGGAAGGGTTTATGAAGCCTTCACTTTTATTTAATAATCCAATGTCTGTATTAAACAATTTGGATATGCAATATATCCTTCAACAAATCTATTCTATTGATTGCCTTTTTAACGCATGAGGGAAACACACGACCTCATGGCTAGGTGGGGGGGGGATGTGCCCAGGTAATTATTACTTCTTCATTTCTAAAAGCTACACCTAGAAGGGAAGGAAGGGAGGTGCCATTTCCTTGTTGCAGAAATAAGCATAAGTGTGGGACAACTTGATGCGCACAGCAATCCTAAACCTGGCCAGTCACCACCACATCTACAGCTCTGCTAGTTTTGGTGACTAGGGTACAGGGCGGGAGGAGGCAAAGTCCTTCTTTGTGCGATGCGATCCTGGATCTGGCATCAACCCAGATCTGGTTTAATGCTTTCAAGTGATGGTAGTATAGCTGTTTCAGGATCCCAAGTTGGCCCTGTCCTCAGAATGCCCCAATTTTGTGGCTTTCTGTGGACTACCATTTATGTCCACTCATAATTGACAGTCAGGGACGTGGGTGGCGCTGTGGGTTAAACCACAGAGCCTAGGACTTGCCGATCAGAAGATTGGCGGTTTGAATCCCCGCGATGGGGTAAGCTCCTGTTGCTTGGTCCCTGCTCTTGCCAACCTAGCAGTTCGAAAGCACATCCAAGTGCAAGTAGATAAATAGGTACCACTCTGGCGGGAAGGTAAACGGTGTTTCTGTGAGCTGATACTCTCCTTTTCAGCTATGACCTTTTCTGCTTACATTCACCAAGTTTTGATAAGGAACAGGGGCGGCCCAGCCCATTTCAATGTCTGAGGCAAAATGGGATGGTGCTCCCCAATCCCACCTACCCCATGAAGCCTGACTTACCAGGGTCACACAGCTGCAGTGGCTTCCAGTGAGATCTCATGAGAGTTCTGTGAGATCTTGCCAGAAGCCTCTGCAGCTGCACAGCGACAGCAGGGGTGGGCAGGATGCCTGCAGGTTCATTGCCCTATGGGATTCTGCCGCCCAAAGCGGCTGCTTCAGTCTACCTTATGGGCAGGCCAGCCCTGATAAGGAGGGCTCATACAAAAGATGCTATCCTCCATAAATAATACTTTATAGATTTACAGTGGTACCTCGCAAGACGAATGCCTCGCAAGACAAAAAACTCGCTAGACGAAAGGATTTTTTGTTTTTTGAGCTGCTTCGCAAGACGATTTTCCCTATGGGCTTGCTTTGCAAGACGGAAACATCTTGCAAGTTTGTTTCCTTTTTCTTAACACCGTTAATACAGTTGCGATTTGACTTCGAGGAGCAACTCATAGAACGCGGTGTGGTAGCCTTTTTTGAGGTTTTTAAAGACTTTGGTGATTTTTGAAGCTTTTCCAAAACTTTCCCGACACCGTGCTTCGCAAGACGAAAAAAATCGCAAGACGACAAAACTCGCGGAACGAATTAATTTCGTCTTGCGAGGCAACACTGTACATGGTTCCAAAATAGAAAAGGGGGCAACATCAGGGAGCAATGAAATGATGAAATTGCAGATGTTAAATAGGTCGATCATACACATTCACATTTAGTGATGCAGACAGGAAGGAAAAGACTCATTGTGAGCTGAAGGAAGTGACTTGTCCCTCAGAGGTATGTTACTTGAGAAATGTATAGCCAGAAAATACAAGTGCTTTGTGTCTGTAGTCGGGGTAGCATGTTAAACCAACTGTGTTTAAAAGATGTCAAATGTAGGTCAACTGGACTTCCAGCTGAGCAAATAAAGTGGAATTATAACTCAGATGCTGTTTGAGACAAATATCTGTAGCCAGATAATGCTATCTCCATTCTTTTCTCTCCCAGCAAAGCCAAACTCTGTTTTCGGTATACTTGTCAACGGCTGGGAAATCCAAACAAGCCAGAGTTCAGCTCTCTGCTCTGTAATCTCCTTTCCCCTGTTATTAGCTCCTTTGCTGAAAAGCAAAGGCAATAATGCTAGGATAGGTTTAATGGCTTACTTTCAGTCAGGGCATATTCTTAAATGTATAGTATTGTAATTAGTCCCCAAAAAGAGAGGGGAAAATGCCCACCTAACTGGGGATGTGTATAAGGCTGGTTTCATTATGCACACATGTTCATCCTTGACCCTTTGCCCTTACAGGCTGGTTGAAACTAATACGTAGTCTTCTCTCTTGGCCTTCATACGTGGTCTGTAGGCTGTGAGGCATGCAAACAGATTTGAGAGGTTGTTGGTTGTAGAGCAACTGCAGGTGTTCCTGGATGAGACAGATTATCTAGATCTGCTACTATCTGGGATCAGAACCAGTTTTGGAACTAAATCAGCTTTGGTCACCGTGATATATGAACTTTATCGTGAAAGGGAAAGGGGCTGTGCAACTCTGTAGCCTTTGATAGCATTGACCATGGTGTCCTACCAGTCCAACTTAGTGAGGTGGATATTGGAGGTTATTATGGTGGCTCTCTTGGGCCTATATGGAGATGCTAGGGATTGAACCTTCAACCTTCTGCATGCAAGGCAGATACTTTTCCCACTGAGCTGCGCACGTGCCCCAGATTGAATAAATGACCTTTGAGGTCTCCTTCAGTTCTCTTATTCTGTTTTCAGCTTGCCAATGGGTTTAGGTTGCAATGTAGATCTGATGACAGAATTGTGTCTATATTTCTTTTCTTTTTTGTTCTTTCTGGGAAATATGGGTCACCTGTAAATAAAAATTCACCAGCTGTGTTTCTTTGCTGGCTCTAGATTCCTGTGTCTGATGACAGCTCATGATAGATAGATAGATAGATAGTAAATATGAATTCTTTAGGGCTCTTTGTATCTTTTTAGCTTTCCTCACAGATATATGATTTAATTAGAACTTTAATCATTTTGGGGCCAACCTCTAGAGTCCTTTAAAGGTCCTTTAAATAGTGAAGTGTTAGCTAGCTTAACTAGCGATATGTAGAGAAACTGCAGTTGAGAATCGCTTCTGAAGTATTTCCCTTGGTAGGCAAACAGGCGACCAGAACATAACAAAGGTATAAGAAATTTCATTTATTAAAAAAGAGAAAAAGTGCCCTTAATTTAGGGTGTGTGCACTTCCCCCCGTGTGTGCATCATTTCCACTACTGCAGAGCTTTCCAAACTGTGTGTCGCAACACATTCGTGTGTAGAGCGAATGCTCCCTGCGCTCCTCCCAGGGTTGGACAGGGGTTAGCTTAACCTCTGGTTTGCTGGTAAAACCAAATTAAAGGTAAAGGTAAAGGGACCCCTGACCATTACGTCCAGTCCTGGCTGACTCTGGGGTTGCGGCGCTCATCTCGCTTTATTGGCTGAGGGAGCCGGCGTACAGCTTCAGGGTCATGTGGCCAGCATGACTAAGCCACTTCTGGCGAACCAGAGCAGCGCACGGAAACGCCATTTACCTTCCTGCCAGAGCAGTACCTATTTATCTACTTGCACTGTGACGTGCTTTCAAACTGCTAGGTTGGCAGGAGCAGGGACCGAGCAATGGGAGCTCACCCCGTTGCAGGGATTTGAACCGCCGACCTTCTGATCAGCAAGTCCTAGTCTCTGTGGTTTAACCCACAGCGCCACCCACGTCCCAAATTACTGTGTCTCAAAATGAGGCATGTCTAAAAAGTGTGTTATCAAGAGACTTCCGGGTCAGCGCCATCGGTGAATGGCGGAGTTCCTCCGACCGGAGGAACGGGCTCCGTAGAAACTGGGTCTTCCCACCGCGGCAAAGGTGGGGACCCGCTAGAAATCCCAGGCGGAGGAAGCCTGGGAACGTGGGGTTCGGCAGGGCACCAGGAGCACCCCCCCTACTCACTGGGAACCCAATTTTGGGGCGCCGGAGCGAAGTGGGGTGAGTGGCGCGGTGCTGCGAACTGATTGCTATTTTCACTGAGTGAAGCCGCACAGCCATTGCCGGAGAGCGCTGACTTTTTCCTGTGGACAATTGGATTTAAAACAAGTACCCGTGAGTAGAAACGGAAAATTGGATTAAGAAATATCTCAATTTGGCATTGAAGCGGGAAGGTTCAAAACAGGAAGTCCGCCTTCCGCTTTTTGTATATAGACTAAAGCAAAAACTTTGTAAGCTAAAGCCTGGAAAGCTGTTAAAAAAGTCTAAATTTCCTTCATTCAGAATTACTGAAACCCCTTGGAAGCAGGAGAAAAGGGGGGGGGCTTTGTTCAACCCTAGCAGGAGAGGGAGTGAAGAAGGATAAGTTTCCACCGTCTCTAACCTGGGAACAGGGTGTCAGAGACAGAAATTGTTGGAGAGGTTCATCGACTGTGAATGGAACACTTTGACAGATAGCTAAAGAAGAGAAACAAACTGATTCCAATGTTGCCTTTTGCATTCTAAAGAAACAAAATATCTGAAAAAATCTGAAAAATGAAAGTAATTTTCCTTTGTTGAACTTGCCTTAAAAAAAGATGGATACAAATAGAAATTGTCTCCTCTAGAGGGAGCTTGTTAAATTGTTGCTGCAGTATACTTGAGGACTCAACAGCTGTGAGATTAAGATCGTGGGACCAGTCTCTTCTGACCTTGACTAAAGATGAGCTGGGAGGAAGATTGGGTGCTTGCTCTATGCAAGACAAGTGCTTTGCTGGAACAGATGCACGTGAAGATGGATTTGATGAATGAGAAAATGGATTTGATGACTGTTGTGGTTAATAACTGTGGACAAACAGGGAACATTGATACAGAAATCATTCAGGAACCAACTCATGAACCTGTACTGTCTGGGCAAGTGCAGAAGATAATGGAGGAGGATGCGGTTGCACCTCAAATAATACAAATGGAGAGACCCGAGGCCCTACAGGAGCATAAGCCGCTGTCATTGAAGATTGAAGTTGGAGTGGGCCAGGGGGAGTTTGGAGCTGAGGAGGTTCCTAACTTTGGAGAGACCTGGAAATATGCTTTTAAATACTTTTTGGACTATAGTGATGACTGTGGGGAGTGGGTCTGTGGGGAATGGGCGGGTTTGATGAAGAGAGATGGAGACAGTTTTGGGTTGGAATCCCCCAGAGACCTACCCCTCAATGAGAAAGGAAAGAAATTAAGAAAGAGACCAACAAAAGACAAGGAAAAGGGCAAGTATAAACAAGAAGAAGAAGAACTGCAGAAGGGACATGGAAGAGACTTAAGGGCCTCGGACATAAGGCTTCCAGGTTGATGGACTAGATGGAATAGACAGTAAGGACTGACACGATCCGAGACCAGGAAGAAGAGACGTTGGATGAAGATTGGAAAAAATTATAAATAAAAACTTTCTATTTGGGGAATTAGCTTAAAATTAATGAATATTAGGGAAAATGTTGGAATGAAACTATATGACTCTAGCAGAAATGATATCAGGAGTTATGTATATTTGAAAATTAAGATTTAAGCTTTAAGGTATTTTAGGGTAAGATAAGGTTAAATAAACTAAGGTAATTTGAATAACAGAATATGGGGAAAGATGGAAAGGATTTGTTGAGCTAATTATTAGGTTAAATTGTTAAGATAAATTTTGTAACAAAAATTGAGAAAGATGAAAAGAATTTGCTGAAATAACTAGTTGAACTGGAATGCAAGAAGGGAGGTGTGAGGAGGTCAATGAAACAAGCAAATGGAAGTTATAGATATGTAATTTGGGATTTGTGGTTTTTTTTTCTGTCTTCCTTTTTTCTTTTTATCTTTTTGCTGTACTGTTGTACTGGTTTTTGCATTTTCTTTTTTCTCTTTTTTATGTATTATTGTGTTGTTGTTTTTTTTATTTTTATTTTTATTTTCTATAATTCTGAAACTACTAATAAATATTATTTAAAAAATAAAAAGTGTGTTATCAACATGAAAAGTTTGGAAAGCTACTGTATGAGCACTAATGTACCGAGAGTTTTACCTTAGCTGATCTGTGGTCCCACTTTTCTTCCAGTATGTACGTACAGTAGGTATTAGTTAGTTAGTTTTTCTTTTAACCCACTCTTCCGTGGTCATAGTTATGGAGTGTGTAAAACATATGGAATGCAATTATGAAGAAACACATTAAAAACCAATGCAAATAAATGCAACACAACTGGCAAAGTGTTTGGGCAATCAGCTGTGAAGCAATTAGGTGCTTTTGGCCCCCTTTTGTTAAGATTAGAGCCACATCTCCCTGCTGTAGACATGTTCAAAGCTGGTTTAATTTGGTAGTGTAGACATGTTGTGCATGTCATATTTTGTGTTTCCCAAGTGCATGATTCTGTGGTTCTAAGCTCTATGGGTGCTCAGCAGGGGAATATTCAGGGCACGCATCTGGAATCGCCCATGGCAGAGCTGGGATTTCACAGATTTAGATAATAATCAAGTTCTTTTTTGTGTATCAACACCCCTGCCACCGCCTCGTGCTTCAGAATAATTTATATTGGACCCAATGAAGTTACTGCTGCAGCCAGGATATCTCTGTATCAGAGCTACACCTCTGACATCGGAGAGAGAACTCTGAGGTATCCTGTTGATGCTCTACCGGGGACCACAGGGTGACACCTTACTTAAGCATTTTCTTTCAAGATACAAATTCCAATATGTATTTTGAGACATTTCAACTGCTGTAAACCATGTCGCAGTGTTAGGAGAAGTGCAAAATTCACTGGATAGCTGAGTTCTCAGCCACCCATTACTTCAAGATCAGGTCATTTCATACAGGAATTTCGAAAAAGATCCATTCCCTCAGCCATCTGCTATCACAGGCAGAAATGCTTCTGAATATCAGGAACTGCAGGAGGGGAGAGTGCTGTTGTGCTCAGGTCCTGCTTGCAGGCTTCCCAGAGGCACCTGGTTAGCTACTGTGTGGAGATAATGCTGGGCCTTTAGTCTGGTCTGTCCGACTCTTCTTACGTTTTTGTCCCTCATCAGCAGGGGGAAAGGACATGCAAGCATTCATGAATGATAATGTTATCAATGGCTACTAACCATGACAGCTATGTATTACCTCACTGCTGGAGGCAGTAATACTCTGAATACCAGTTGCTTGGGACCTGAGGGGATAGGGCGTATATAAATTCAATAAATAATAATAACCACGTGGGTAGAATTGCAATTGCTTCCCAGAGGCATCTGGTTGGACCCTATGAGAACAGGATGCTGGACTAGGTGAGCCATGGGCCTCATCCAGCAAGGCTCTTCTTGCATTCTTACATATAGCAGGCAATTTTGAATGTTTCCCCCCCTCACTTTAAAAATGTGGTGTGTGACTGTTTGGTTTTCCAAGGCAAGCAAAAGATACTGATTTGCCTTAGATATACCAGGCCCTACGAGTGTCCCCATTTTCCAGGAACAGTGCTGAATTTACAGAAGCGGTCCCATTTTCTGAGTTCATCCCAGAATGTCCTGCTTTTCCTTAGGACGTCCCTATTTTCATCAGATAAATGTTGGTGGGTATGGAGTTACCTGAACTCTCCCCCCCCCTCCGGTCCATCTGAAGGCAACCCTGTGTGGGGAAGTTTTTTAAATGTTTAATGTTTTATTGTGTTTTTATATATGTTGGAAGCTGCCCAGAGTGGCTGGGCAAACCCAGTCAGATA